GAGAGCAACGGGGGGGGGGGGGGGGTGGTGAGGAAGGAAAGGAAAGGAGTAAGTGAGTATTACAAATAAAAGATTAAAAATATATTATTACATATGAATTCTCTCAATATTTCCTCCTAGAAATCTGGGACATGCAGCTTCATTTTGAAGATGCAGATAGCCATACGTTGTGCTGGGAAATCAGTGATCACCTTTATTTCATTTACTGCTTCAAGAATAAGCATAGCACATAATTATAAAAATTATATGCTGTCCTAAAGTCAGATCAGCTCACATGCAGCAAGATCAAAGCACAGAAATAGCCTGATGTGAGAATAGCTACAAAGAATTCACCTCTATAAGCCTAGCTGAAATACTGTAGATACTACCAAGCATGCTATTTAAATGAACTTATTGTGTCATTTATCCATTGGCAAGTTATTGAAAAGAACCAAACTGATGACCTTACTCTCCACAGGTATATTTTGTTAAGTGTCTTTTAAAAAGAGACGAGAACCCAGGTATATGCTAACATCACACATGCACACTCAAAAACACTATCTGCATGTTATGTCGGTGTTTTCATCATACACTCCCTCTAGGTCTGCTTCTTAACAGCAACAGCAATAAGTGTACAGAGAATGTGACATGCTGTGTAATGTTATCAAGTGGCTTTAAACTCTTTATCAGTCTAATACCATCTGGGATACTTAGGCTAAACAAAAGCCTATAAGCTATTTGCCAATCAAACAGCAGAGGATAAAACTGATGTAAGGAGTGAGGCAGGACAGGTTAGGGTACTGGTATTGTAAATCAAACTTTACATAATGTCTCTTCAATGCTGTAACTGGATGGCAAGTATTTAAAATGATGCAGAAAATAAAGACTACATAGTTACTATGAAGTTTCCTATCTCGCTAATAAGGAATGCGAAACAATTTGAGTAACTGTTCTGCATTGCTGCAAAAATACAGCATTTTGTTTACAAACTAAGATATTGACATTGAATTGGTTCAAGAAACTGCTTATTAAAAGACAGACTTTCAAAATGTGATTCCCTCTGTTCCAAACTGTAGGAATCTGGTAACAATGTTACTTCTTTTAGATCTTTATAAACAAGAATGTAAACTCTAGAAGTAATAGCATCGTCACTTGCTAGCAATTAATAAAATGGCATTCCTCCAATCTCTAATTCTCCAAAATAAATGAATTGATGACCATGTTTGGGTTCTGCTTTGGGCACAACTATTATATTGCCACTTTTGGACAGAACTTTGTTCAATAGTCTGTATTATTTCAAATTTAATTAAAAGTGAACTTACCATCAGGATCTTTAAAAGTCAGTGTGATGAACTTGCTAGCAACCATGAACATGAATATCACCCAAAAGCATGCAGCTAACAGCAGCCACTGATGGTGCATGTTGTCAGATGGGAGCCATATAATTTTTTCTATCTTCCTGCTTAAAAAAAAAAAGTAAAAATTATGACATACGAAATATATTTTTCTATTTCATAAAACCAGTACTTTGTACAGCTGACATTAAAACATACATATTATATTTTTGCTTAAAGTCAAATACACCTAGAGGTTTAAATTTTGTAACAACATAGCCTTTAATATACTTAATACTTCTACAGTTATATAATTGTATTACTAGTGTTATAGTGATAGAGGCTCTAGTCTGGTCATGGCTGTTATCATGCTAGATGCTGTATGAAACGGTAGTAAAAAAATATCCCTGCCCCCAAAGACATGTCTGTTTTAGGCCCCCATCCTGCAATTAGATCCATACGGCAAGCCTATTAGACATCCTGCAATTAGATCCATACGGCAAGCCTGTTTTCTCTTATAGAGCCCCATCAAAGTCAACAGGACTCCAGGGAAATTGCAGAATCTAGTTCTTGGTTTAAAGGCAAATACAACAGGTGGTGAAACAAAAAGGGATGGGGAAGAGGATGGAGTAACATTTGGCTACCTATGCAGGCAGTTTGCAGATATGTTGGAGTAGGAAGGTTGCACGTGAGCTTTGCTTAGTTTTGATCAGCAACTGACATCTTAGCAAAAAAAAAAAATAATAATTTGAGAGAGACAGAATTCGGTATTAAAAATAAAAATATAATAATTAAATATTAACTGAATACACATATGTATGCATTTTTAGGATGGGATTTTCAAATGGACTCAACATTAGTCTAGCCCTGGTTGGTAAAACTCCCACTGACTTCTATGGAAGCAGCTAAGCCAAAGTTGAGTGTTTTTGCAAATCCCTACAGTTGCCAACTGTTTAATTATACCAGGGGTGGGAAGTAATTTTTTGCTGGAGGCCCAGGGACGCACCGGAAGGGGTGGAACCTCAAAAGGAAGGGGCGGGGCCAGGATGCTTCAGGCTACCTCACCCACAGACCATGATTGGTCTCGGGGTGGAGGAGCCCCTTTGTCCCCCTTCCCACTAAGCACCCATGCCTCTGGCAGTGGGAAGAGACTTCCCGTGCTCACCCACCCCAGGCCAACCGGGGGAGCACACAAAGCCTCCTCCCTGCCAGAAGCACGTGGCGCTTCAAAGTACTGCACGCCTCTTGCAAGGAGCGGGTAGGGCAGAAGAAACTGCACTTGTTCCCCCCCCACTCCCCCCCGCTCCCAGGCCTTAATTGGCCTGGGGGCGGGGGAGCAGCAAAGGGTTGGATCGACCTGCTTGGCGGGCCAGATCCGGCCCGTGAAGGCCCTTTTGCCCACTCCAGAATTATACAAACACCACTTCCGCACTGCTTCTCCGAGGCTTCACCCTTCCCACCCCCACTCACTCCATCCCTCCTCCCAGCACACTAATTCAAAATACCTCTTCTTTGGATAACTAAAAAATATAAAACCATGAGGTTGTCTTTGGACTTGAGGAAGCTAAGCACTATCATCCAAAATGGCTCATACCCCCTCACACTGAAGAGAGGACCTGTATCTCAGGCTGTAAGGAAATACATAAGAGGAAAATCTTTGCTCTGAACTTGTGAACCCAGGCACAGAAATTGTCATCTGAGCATCTCCTCCCCCTACTCCAGTGCCTTTCAGAGGCCTACAAAGATTAAACACGCCATTAATTAACATTGTGACACACAGGGTTGGTGAATGGTCCTATTACACCTGGAAATGTGATGTGTAAGGGAGCTGATCTCACAGGATGATTAAGAGCATGAGGTCAACTTCCCATAATGCAGTTGTCTTCATCCCCCAGTTTCATCTGCATACCATAATTTTTATTTCTTCTTTCAAAGTCCTACAAACCCATGCATCTTTCCTCGCTGTCAGCTATCTCTGATAGACGCATGGAGTCTATACAGCTCTCACTACTGTGGTGAGAGTTCCGAGTACAACACACCTGATACTACAGTATGTGTATGGCTGCAAGACGAGCTGCAGGGGAAATGGCAGTTCCTTGGAGACTAAATTGTCAAAAACAGGGCAGATGCCTCAAACTGATGGTATGTTTTATAATTAGACTCCACCAACCCAGTAACAAATGTGAACTCCTAGATCATTATTACAGCCTTACCATGGAGTCAAACACAGTCCCCATGGACTCTCCAATTTATCATATCACACAGGCAAGCTGGACTTAGTGGTAAATGGTCATTTCCACCAAAAATTACAAAAACATGCAAGTTACTTCCAATCCCAAAAGACCAGTCACTTACCAAAGAACAATTTTACATCTTAGATTTTACACCAAAGACAATGTCTGTAACCAATTCTGTAATATAACCTTAACTAGTTTTATTAACTAGAAAAAAAAGCATTATTTACAGTTAAAGCAAGCTAACAAATAACTAGGGCTCTACCAAATTCATGATCCATTTTGGTCAATTTCATGGTCATGGGCTTTTAAAAATAATAAATATCATTATTTCAGATATTTAAATCTGCAATTTCAGGGTGCTGTAATTGTAGGAGTCCTGACCCAAAAGTGGTTGGGGAGGGATTGTAAGGTTATTGTAGGAAGTTTGTTGTATTGCCATCCTTGCTTCTGTACTGCTGCAGGTGGCTAGAAAGATTGGTAGCTTCTGACCAGGAGCCCAGCTCTGAAGGCAGGGCCACCAACAACAGCTGTGGAGAAATTATGGCATGGTATGGTATTGCCACCCTTACTTCTGCACTGTTGCCTACAGAGTTGAGTCCTCAGCCAGCAGCCATGACTCCCCGGCTACCCAGCTTTGAAAGCCGTGCAGAAGTAAGAGTGGTAATATCATGACATCCTTACAATAATTTTGCAACCCTCCTGTGCCCCGCTTTTGGGTTGGGACCCCCATTTTGAGACGCTCATCTCCAGGGCTTAATTTCAGATCTGGAGGCGGACAACCTGTGTTATGCTGTGATGGTGGTGGGGGAAGAGTGAGAGCATGGGAGGCAGACTGAGGACAGTGGCTTCAGCAGTGTTACTGAGCATGCTCAGTACAAGCCAAGCACCAAATGGGGGTGGAGGAACCAATTCCTTCCACCCCTCTCACACACATACACCGTTATCGTCATCTTCATCCAGGGGCTACTAAGACACTGGAAAACTCTGCTTTTTTTGGCAGACAACTTAACAATTAGCTGATAGGAACACTGTATCTAATTCCTACATAAAAGAAAGAAAATTAAATAAATATTAGATCCACTCAGCTCTAACACTAACATATTCTGACATCTTGTCACTTAAGGGACACTAGTTAGCCTTAACATTTTAATATATATTCTTACATTATTACTAACTCTGGGGGGAGAGAGAGAGACCCTGTCAGGATCCCAGGGCTTCCTCTCAGCTCTAGAAGGAGAGTGCAGTCTAGTGAGGTGCAGCAGTGGGTAGATACTTTCAGCTGTATATAAGAAAATAAGAATGGCCATAGGTCCTTCTAGCCCTGTATCCTGTCTTCCAACAGTGTCTAATGCCAGTGCATCAGAAGGAATAAAGAGAAGAGGCAATTGTCACGATCCATTCTCTGTCGCCCATTCTCAGCTTCTGAGAACCTAGGAACACCATCCCTGCCCATTCTGACTAGCAACCATTGATGGACCTATCCTCCCTGAACTTACTTTGTTCTTATTGGAACCCTGTTATAGTTTGGGCCTTTCCACCATCTTCTGGCAAAGAGTTCCACAAGTTGACTGTGAAAAAATAATTTATTTTGTTTGTTTGTTTCAAATCTGCAGCCTATAAATGTCACTGGGTCAACTTCTTGTGTTATGTTAGTGAAGGAATGAAGGTTTTCCACACCACTCATGATTTTCTAGACCTCTAACATATCCCTCCACTTTTTAGTCATTTCTTTTCCATGCTGAAAAGTCCTAGTCTTGTTAATCAATCCTCATATCCATGTTCCTTACCCCTTAATCATTTCTTTTGCCCTTTCTGTACCTTTTCCTAATACAATCTATCTTTTTTTAAGAAGGGATGTGCATACAGTACTCAAGATGTGGGCATACAATGACTTTAAATGGAGGCAATATGATATTTTGTCTTATTATCTATTCCTTTCCTAATGATTCTCAATATTCTGTTAGCTTTTTAGTTTTTAGACTGCCACTGCACATTGAGCAGATATTTTCAGGGAACTATCCATAGAGATTCCAAGATCTTTCTTGAGTTGTAACAGTTATTTTAGACCCCGTCATTTTTGTATCTATAGTAGCATTATAATTTCCCATGTGCATTACTTTGCACTTATCAACACTGAATTCAATCTGCCCTTGTGTTGCCCAATCACCCAGTTTTGTGTGATTCCTTTGTAACTATTTGCAGACACCTTTGGATTAGTCACTGTTCACCCCTTTTTCAAGAACAGTAATAAGTTTAAAATCAGCAACCCAAATGCAGATCCCTGCAGCACAACACTCATTCCTACGCTTTTTTCCCCATCTTTTAAGTGGAGTATCCAGCAATGTTTTCATGATGATCTAAGGATCTTTCAATTATCTGAATTCCCAGCCTTTTGTTATTCTTAATCACCCCACCCCTCTCTCTTTTTATAACAAACTCCCTACCCCAAAAGCAAAGCTGCAAGCAGCTCAAACTGTTGCATTTAAGAACTGCCTCTGGAGTCAGGGCATGCATCTTTGAACAGACTTTAAACATGAAATCCAGGGGTTCAGACTCGGGGGGGGGCTACTGTCCCCATAGCCCCCCATAAATGGTGCCCCTGATTACCTCCCACATTAAATCTGTACACAAAAGACCAGATTTCACAATCCATGATACATTTTTCACAGCTGTGACTTTGATAGGGCCTTACATATAACACAAACAAGTTGCAAACTAAATTCTAATAGAGGCTGAGTTGTAGTGATCTGTCAATTCTAGATGTTTCTTGAGGGTCAAACCAAGGGATAACACTGGGGAACACCTTGCTTCAGTTTAGAGTCTCTGACCCTGTGAAAGTTCAACTGGCCAAGAGATGAAAAATTCTTTAGTGACCCCATTTTATCTTTTACATTTAGTCTCTCTATGAGCTGAGCTATCTTGCATATAGTATTTGCAAAGTATGACACAGACATACAGTACATCTATCCTTTGTGTCATAATGTTTGTTAATGGCACTGAATCTTGATAGGCCTCTTGAATGGATGGAAGAGAGGATTCCCATGACTGGGTTCACAAGTTCAGAGCAAATATTTTCAGTTTTCAAGCAAAACTGACATATTTTCTTATATACAAGTGAGATGAATGCAGGCAGCAATTTACAAGCATTTAATAGAGATTAAACACTAACTACATTCTTATAAGACTAATACCTCTTTTGAACAAAACTAATGTACAATTGAGCTTATTTGGTTTCAGGTAAGAGTCTGTCAATTATTATCTAATCCCTATGGTCTTGGCACTTGGTTTATCAGTGTTGTACATTGACTCCCACATTCATGTTTACCCATCCCTTCTGAGCTCTCTCAATTAATCTTATTAAAGGGAAGAAAAATCACAAAGCCCAGCAGATTTCCTTCATTTTTTGCTAGACAAGTCTCTCTGGAGTATACCTCACACTTCTGACAACACCTCTTGACTCTGAACAAGAGAACTGAGTGTACTCACATTACTTTTAGCCTTCCAGCATTCTTAATAGAACTATTATGCAAGGAAAATCTCTCCCACTAGGCATTTTAATCTTGATTACTCACTTATGAGAAGTTACAGATATTTGGGATATATTTGCTTTGGATCTATTCTCTGGAGATGGGCTTTCTCTGTTGCTCACCAAAATATTACAAGTGAACCACCCACAGGAAAAAAAAAGACTAATTACAAATAAGGGACCTTAAGAAACACTTTCAGAAGCTTGTCTCTCTCAACATAAATTGGTCCAATAAAAATGTCACCCACCTTGTTTGCTCAAATAAGGGAGTATAAGTGATCGCCAGGATTCTACACCTTTCCAGGGAATCCTCTTTCTCCCCAACCGTTCACATTGCATGTGTCTAAGGGTAGGGCTACAATAAAAATGCTACATGGCCACAGGCTGCTGTAGGGTTTAAGACACTTCTACACCAATGAGAGAGAGCTCTGTCATCGGTGTAGTTATTTCACCTTCTCGAGAGGCGGTAGCTAGGTCCACAGGAGAAACACTCCCAGGGTATGTCTACACTAGCCCCCTAATTCGAACTAGGAAGGCTAATGTAGGCATTCGAAGTTGCAAATGAAGCCCGGGATTTAAATATCCCAGGCTTTATTTGCATCTTCCCGTCCGGGCGCCATTTTTAAATCCCCCTAGTCCGAACTAACTGCCCGCGGCTACATGCAGCAGTCAAACGTTAACTGTTACACCTTGCAGCAGTCAAATGTCAACAGCAGTCAAATGTTTGACTACCGCGTGTAGCCGCGGGCAGTTAGTTCAGACTAAGGGGATTTAAAAATGGCGCCCGGACGGGAAGATGCAAATAAAGCCTGGGATATTTAAATCCCGGGCTTCATTTGCAACTTCGAATGCCTACATTAGCCTTCCTAGTTCGAATTAGGGGGCTAGTGTAGACATACCCCCCCAGACACACAGGGGGTGAGTTAGTACAGTGGTTACCAACTGCCAGGCTGCGGACCACTTGCTGCCAGGCCACAGACCACTCACTGCTGGGCCGCCACAGCTGTCGGAGCTCAAGCTGGCTGTTCATGGTGGCTCAGCTCCAGCAGCCGTGGTGTTTCACGCGGCAGCAGGAGGTGGCAGAGCAGGAGTGCTCATTGGCAGTGCATGTCTCCCTTCCTCCTCCCCACACCGCGCCTGGGGAGGGAAGGGGCACAAAGGAGGAAAGGAGGCACGCACTGCCAACGGTCACTCCCCCTGCCTTGCAGCCGCTTTTTCTGGCAGTGGCAGGAGGAGGCAGAGCAGGAGGTGCCTCCCTAGGTCTCTGCGCTCCCTCCAGCCCACCTGGCCACTTTTACAAGCTAATGCAAGAGGAGGCAGAACAGAAGGCTCCTTCCCACTCCCCAGGTAATGGTGGTTGGCCAGGACTCCATGCTCCATGGGGATGTAAGGTGTGCTTGGGGAAGGAGAGGGAGCAAAGGAGGAGGGCCACTCCCCCTGCCCATGCAGCAGTAATCGCCAAGCTCCCTAGAGGGGGCAGCTTCACTCTGGGAAGCGCAGGAGTGGGGTAGGGGCAAAGGGGTGATGGGTGAAGGTGTGATGGGGACACAGTGCAAGTGCTATTGGCATGGGCTGTAGGGATCAAAGGTTAAAGGGTCAAAGAGCATGAGGCCCGGGGATCAAAGAGTGTTAGGCACCGGGGAACAAGGGGCTGGGTTGGGCTATGTGGATGGTATTTTATTTACATATTTATTATTTGCATAATGAATACACAAGTATGCAAATAAAATGATGCCAGTCCACCAAAGGCTTGGGAATGGATTTGGCGATCTGCAGAATAAAAAAGGCTGGGAACCACTGAGTTAGTATAACTGCATTAGTCAGGAAATTCATACCCCAGCCAGCTAGTTACAGCCACATGACTCTCTAGTGCAGGCCCCTACGGTCCTTACAGCAGCTCAGCTGTACTGCTGCAACCGCGCTGCTGTAGGAAACTTATGTCTGCCGGGGGGGTGTTTTTTCACACTCCTGCCCACTGTCTGTTTTGCAGACTACAGTGCTGGCGCAGACACAGCACTACAAGGCCTGCGGGGACGTCGTGTTTTCAGTGCAGCCCTGTCCCAGCTCCCTGGTCTTGGAAAGCCCCACGTAAGGCTTTGGACGCCGGGCTGAGGAGGGGCAGCGGATTACTGGACCTAGGAGTCCTCCATTTCCACTTGGTTTTTCGCAGCCCTTTTGCATCGCCCAGGGAGGCTGGAAGGACCAAGCGGGAGCAGCTGGCGCAGTCTCTGTCCCGCGGGGGAGTGGCAC